TAAATGTATTCCTCCAACAATTCTGGTAACGAGTTCATGTCTAATTTCACGATTATAAGCTACATTTATCACGCGACCATAAATATACTTAACACGCTTTAACAAGCACAAAATTCGAAGAATTTCTAAAATTTCTAAAATTTTTCCTAATTTTATCGTGGATGGAATAAATGTACAGTGGTTGACTGAACTAAAATACTTCTTCGGTGTCTAATTTTCCGTAATTAAATCGCAGCGTAATTTCTTAAAAAATTCCAAAAATCCTAAAAAACTCACCAGGAAATAATATTCGAGACACCTGCAACAATCGCCTGTGCACATTTCCCCGAGGATATTAACCCGATAATCCATTGCAGTCGGAGCGTTACGTCGAATAAAACGCGGCGCTGTCCGGTCGCACCGTTAAGTAATCGCGAGAAACGGTTGTTCGATACAGTTTCCGTGGTGAATAAATTGCGAATCGTTCACGCGGTCGTTCATCGCGGAGCCGGCTGTAAATCGCGGTTTAAAGATAGTCCCGGTCGTTTCTTCGCCAGAGCCCGGGTTCGAACGCCGGAACGCGTCAGCGTAGTCGTCGGTGCGTGGCTGGAACCACCTGCTTCCGGTGCTCATGGCGTCGGTTACACCGTCGCTCCTCCACCGTCGCTTCAACGGCACCTGTGCTACACCCCGTCGCCATAATGTCCTGCGACCCGCCATCCTCGTTCGCCCACCGATTCCACGTTTCTCATCCGGGCCGATTTCCGTCACAACGCTCGGATCTGCACGCTAGCGGATCGGAATGCGAAAAACGCGCCATTCTACCTGTCCTCTCATCTCTTTTTTTCTTTTTTCGCTCCTCTCCTTTTCCCACAGTGTATCCCGTGACCTCGCGTTGGATACATTACTGCTTTTCTGTTGTTTTATACCTCGATGTCGTTTCTATATCTGGGATAAGGTGGATTCGATCGAGTCCCTCTGAATCTTGGCTTTTATTTGGTTTAGGAAGAATTTCTATGGGGTTATTTTTGAACGATACTCGGTGAAAGCGGGGTACCTGGGTACGTTCGATATTGAAGTTCCGATCAATTCTTTGAGGGTTTTATTTGCCTTTGAAATCGTGTATGCATGAAATTAATTATTTTTGAACGATGACTAGAGTATTTGGTGAAATAGAGTGTCTAGGGATTTTAACCATCGAGGTTTCCTTTATTTAGAATTGGTTTATTTATTGGAAAGTAGATTCGATTAATTCTTTATGGGTTTTGTTTGCTTCTGAAATCGTGTATCTATGAAGTTAGTTGTTTTTGAACGATGACTAATGTATCTGGTGAAAATGGAGTGCCTAGGGATTTTATTGATCGAGGTTTCCTTTATTTAAGACTGCTTTATTTCTTGGAAAGTAGAATTGATTAGTTCTTTATAGGTTCTTTTCGTTTTGAAATCGTGTATGTGTGAAATTAATTATTTTTGAACGATGACTAGTGTATTTGGTGAGGACGGAGTACCTAGGGATTTTAACGATCGTAGTTTCCTTTATTTAGTACTGGTTTATTTTTTGGAGGGTAAATTCGATTTACTCTTTTAGAATTTTATTCAATTTCGGAAGTCTCCATTTATCTCTATGATTATTTACAATCTACTATATCTATTTAGCAAAAATAGAGCATTTAATGTGAAACAAGAACAAATTATACCAAAATGACAAATTCTCCCTAGGTACCTTCCCGAAAAATTGACATCTCTATCCTTCAAAAATTCGTCGATGGTATTTAAAGAATTTCACAGAATTATCAAATTAAAAATACATTTAGATTCGTCAGATAATCCTAAATTATTCTGAAACTAACATATCTCTCGTTCTACTTAAATTTGAAACAGTAAATGCGAATTATGCTGGTCGCAGAACAAAAGAGAACCACTTATTCGCTGCGAGTACACTCGATATAAATATGGAAAGGATTAAAGGTAGTACCACCGGTGAGATTTCTTTCACAGCGTTTCATCGACCAGCGTGAAACTAACTTTCTGCAATTGAATATCGAGATTGGCTTCTATCGACTCCTGTCGCTATGAAAATCGAATTATTCCTTACCATTTTCTACCTTTTTCTTAACGAACGCCACGTTCGATCCACCGAATCCGGTTACCTACCCCATGCGAATCTAGGCTTCGCCCCGAATCCTCGAGACGCATCTCCGAATTTCGATCACAAAATTTTTGGAATTACTCCACGGCTATAAATTTTCGGTTATAAATTCTCCTATACGGAACGATGATAATTTCGCGGAGAAAAATAACGAGCACGTTACACCGATGGAACAGGACTTTCTCTTCGCGTCGGTAACAGGATTCTCAAAGCCCCCAAACTTTGCGTGAACGCGCGAAAGTGCGTCAAATTGGACTAACACGCTTCATTAGAAGTTCCAGTACGCTCGTGAAACTCGCGAAATAACGTGATTCGTCACGGGAGCAGCTCTCTCAGCGACGTTGGTCGCTGAAAACTCGTTTCGAAAATACTTTAATCCGCCTGATCGGATTCGAAGCCATGCTCGAGAGTGCCGTTAGGTATCGTGGTGCAGATTGGAATTCGATGAAAATCTGGAGGATACGGCGGTGTTATTATAGCGTTAACAAAGTAACGCGCTTAGGATGCTTAGAAAGTAGAAAAAAGCTGAGGAAAATTCCGTGATCCTCGTAATTTCGCTTTTGCGTGACGGGTGTATCGGAGCCACGCGTGCACGACGTTGAAGATGGAAATCGAATTGTACAAGAAGCACCAGCATCCTGTTTAACATCGCGTTTTAAAGTTATCTTTTACGATCGCTGATCTTCCGTTTGTTACAATGTGCTATTTTTTCTCGTAAATTTCTTTGCCGGCTTACGTGGAGTATGAAATTGGGCATAGGTATCATAGCTCGCGCACGAATCACCATTTTGTAAATTTCTACTTTGTAAATTAGACGATGATAAACAGAACGAAATTGCAAATTAGGATACTATGATAGGAATGAAAGTAAATCGAATTGTACGTGAATCGCGTGGAAATTTTATGCCTCTCGATTTTATGAAGCGAATTACGGCAAACGCGATAAAATTTCGTTGTCCGAATTATAAATTACGATACCGCGGTCGGAATTAAAATCAATCGAATCACACGTGGTCCCTGCGTGAATTTTATGCATCCCGAATTATAACAAATAAGATAAGGGTACAAATTATGATACCATATTCTCAATTGAAGCATTGGAATTTACGCGTAGTTGGTATACGAATTTCATGGCTCACGGTTTTATAAATCGAATTGCAGGAAGTATGACAAAATTAATTTTAATTTAAGTCATCAATTTCATTAATTATAATAAACACGATAAAAGTACGAATTATTATCCTGTATTTGAAATCGCGAAACTAATTCGTATACGAATTTTCTAATTCTCAATTTTATAAATAAGAGTATGAAAAATACGACAAATGACAAATCACGATACCATACTCGAGATTAAAGGAAATTGAATTATGGAGTAACAGAAATACAAATTTTCTGACTCCGAATTTTAAAAATAAAACAATAACAGATACGAGAAATGGGAAATGGCAATATTTCGTTTAAAATCAGTTATAATTCAAAATTACACCGTTACAAATTTTCCCAAAATTAACCGTCGTAATCCCTACCGAATTTTTCATCTGGAAACTCGAAATTACGAGCTGGCTGGTGCGGAACCATAAAGGCCGAGATGCCGAAAGGCGTTTTGGCGGTACAAAAATACCACGTCCGCGAATGTGTGACACGGTTTCGTCGAGGCCGCTGCTCCACGCACGAAAATACCCGTGGTTTAATATCGAAAAAGCGTTGCTGGTAAACGATAACGCGAGACAGCGTGATAGGAGGTGGAAATAGGGTGGACTTGGATGCGAGACTTCGCGACGCTCGCGTCGAGGCACTCTATTTAACTCGATTTGGAAGGTATGACGTGACTTCATCGAGAACGCTAAACCATTTTGGTGCAACCTTGTCAGAGCAAGGTGGTCGCATATGGCTGTGCGCACCTGTCATCGACCTAAACGTACGCTCGCAACTGTCGCAACCGTTCCCTGAGAGGGCGAGCTCTAAAACCGAGCATTTAAAAGTGGCCACGATCGATGGGACAGGATGGAACGACGGTGACAACGATGCGACAACCTGGAACACAGCGTGACACGTGAAAGTGACGGTGATGGTAGAGTGGTGGTCGAGTGAAAATACGCGAATCTTTCACCGTACCCAGAAATCCCATCGGGTTTCGTTCCATCCGCGAACGGGACCATCTCGATCCAGCCATGTTTGTTTATATCGGACGGTTTAATGCACCACGGTTAGGCTGGATCATTCCGCGACCTCGAAGCTTCGCGTTATTTTCGTACCTCGAAGAGAGGCAGACAGAGAGACCTGGAACTAATTTTTTCGCCACCAGAAGCGTTATGGCAGCGAGAGAAATGGTGTACGTTGAAATGTTACGAAACGAGGATATCGCGAGTTACCGTGACGGTAACGAAGTTTATTATGCTTCGAAGTATAATGAACCTAGGAAGTCTCGAAAAATATGTATTTGTAAAAAGAAAAGCAAGAAAAGCGGGAAGAGAAAGAAATTCAAACATAACGGAAAAATTTTAAAAAGGAATATCGATATTACGAAATAAAAACCGAGAGGCCCTATCGATACTCTATCTTGTAAGAAATCTCAACGAAATAAAAAATTGAAAAAAATATTATCCAAAAAAATAAACAAAAATTCGAATTAAGCGAAAGCCCCGGTTGCAAAAGTCAGACAATAATACCGGCGCCAGTGTATTACTCTTCCGAGAAAAGAAATGTCAACAAAAGAGAAAATTAAAAAGAATAGATAATATTATCGAGAAAGATGAAAAGAACAGTTCGATCAAAGCGAAAGCTCTTATTGTAACAGATAAGCGATAATACCGACGCCATTGGTACTCCACCGAGACAACAAATTTAATTAAAATAAAAAAGAAAAGAAAAATACGATATTATCGAAGAAAATGGAATGAAATTGGATCCAAGCATCGATCAAGGCGAAAGCTCTCGTTCCAAAAGATTGTCCATAAGATTGGTATCACTCGTATATGCCAAGGTCGCGACTTATCATCCTCGAGTGATCGTCAAAACCGAGCAACACGAGTCGATTAGGAAAATCGGAGAGGGTGAAGCATTTTTTCCACGACGAGTAAGAAACGTGCACACGCACGTATACACACTGGCACACCGTGACAGCGGGCAAAGAACAGGAGAAGAGGCACATTTCCCCTCTCCATTCACCTCTTCGTGAGTAGTCGGAGTCCTGGTTGGCTATAGCCCAGAGTTCGGCGTCACAGTCAAACGCAAACAGTGGCCGCGGCAAAACAGATCGTGGCACGAATGCTCGAAAAATCGACCACAGAGGCCTTGGACACACGGCATGCGATCGCGCACGATCGACGCACGATCGACACACGGATCGACACACGAATCGACGACAATCGACTGCTCTGATCACCTGTTCCGGGCTACCGGGATCATCGCGCCGCTCTCAGCCGGATTCATCGCGTCGTTCATCGATCGACCGATCGATGCGACGACCGACTAACCAATCATCCTACGACGGACAATTTCGACCACTTCCGAGCCATGTCCGATCTTTGATCAGAGACCGATCGGGATCCACTTAATCGTCAAGGATGCCTCCGAGTTCCCGCGAGATCACCGGGAGTGAGACCGCGCGTGCATGGGAAAATTGAATCTGCTACGGAAAATTGGACTTCGTTTATCACTGTGACCGAGTGTTTCGTTTTGCCAGTTTCGTCTTTGTGAATCGTGCCTGACAGACCGGCAAAATGGGGGTGAAGAACTTTATCATGAAAAGGATACCGTTCTGCAAGATGAAGGCGAAGAGGAAATACCGTGAGCCTATTTTCTTTCCTTTTATTCTTCCTCGTTATTTTCGATCTTTCTCTTTCTTTTTTCCCTTTTTCTCGCGCGATTTTTCCCGCGAAGTGGTAGCTCGATGGAAAAATTTCGCTCGTGGAAGAGACGTGGAGCAGTTCCAACTGCGGATAATCGCGAGCGTCTCGAGTCCCGGGGCCCCTGTTTTTCTGCGCGGTATCTCGTAGACAGGCCGATAACGAATTCTTACGTCACAGCGATTTTCCACGGGTCATGTTTTTACGCGAATTATCGCTCGCGCTGTTTGCATATCGCGCCGCGTGTTCCGCCACCTAGAACGCCATTTTCCAACGCTGTCAACGCGCATTCGACGATTCACCATCGTACACACTAGCGTTTCGTTGTAATATACAGAGTAATTAAGAGATACTTTATCTGAAGGCCAAAACAAACCGGAATTCATTATCAATGAGATAACAGGGACTCGTGTTCCCTCGTGTTGGCTCACTTTGACCCCAGAAATTCGTGTATCTCTGAGTCTTCTTCACCTCCGCGAGGAGGAAGAGGAAGGCACGTAGAGTAGTCGGATCGTTGTGGATGGAAAGTGGATGAGATTTAAACGAAGACTATGTTTCTCCCAACGGATCCGACGGTTTAATTAGAGTGTTTACCAGCGAGTCGGATAATATCGGAACGCAAGAGATTAGGTATCAGGGATCGTTCCGATGCACCCGTTCTTTTCTCCTCCCTTTTCGTCGGGACGCCGAAGAAATCGGAGAGATCGGATCGCGAGATGCTCGAGGTTTCGTTGATTAACGAGGATCGATCTGTTCAGGTGGAGAGAAGAAAAGAAAACCGTGGAAGAATGGAAAAAGGGTAGAAACGTCGTTGCGGAGCAGCTGAGAGTTCCTTTTAACTTGACTTTCACGACGACGTCGTCTCGTTTTTTCCACGGAATGCAGCGCTTGTTTCTAATCCACATAGCGCAACTCGCGCGAGAAACCAGCGCGTTCCTTCCATATAAAGCGCAACGTAACGATTACGAGCCATTATTTACATGGCTGAACCGTTCGCTTATCCTTCGCGTTGTCATGCAGCGCGCGAGGACCGTGTCGCGCCCTTTTAAGGATGCCCCCGAGTGCCAACTAACTCCCTAAACTGACCGTCTTCCTACAGGAATCGTTCACAAATTTTTCTGAAATTTGGCGACTGTCCTTCGCCAATTTTCCATTAATCTTTCGCCAATATTTCAAAAATTTTCCCGAAACTTGCCAGAAATTTGCCATAAATTCCTCCTAAATTTTGCGTCAAACCTTTACCAATTTGCTGTGCCAATCTTTCGCCAATATTTCATAGATCTTTCTGGAACTTACAAGAAATTTGCCATAAATTCTTGCTAAATTTTTTCTAAATTTTGCGTCAATCCTTCGCCAATTTCCTGTCAATCTTCCTCCAATATTGCATAGATTTTTCCGAAGTTTATCAGAAATTTGCCATAAATTCTTCCTAAACTCTTCCTAAATTTCGCACCAATCCTTCGCCAATTTTCTATTCACCTTTCGCCAATATTTTCCAAACTTTTCTGAAACTCCATAAATTATCCTGACGCGCTTCCCAAGCTTTTTCCAATCTCCCGACGAATAAAATCGCGATAATTTACTACCGTTATTAGCCAAGACTCGCGTCTTAGTTAATTATTAGAAACCAATTATCTGATAGAACCACGAGGTTCTCGCAAAGATTCGTCGAAACTCCGAAGATAAGGACTGGTTCGGAAACTCGCACGATTTTGCCAGCAGATCGTTAGAGAGCGATTTAAATCAACGATCATCATAACGAGCTGCCGGGATCGATAGATAACGAGGTTTCGTCGTTCCGCCTGTTGCGGAATGATCATTGTGCATCGTGGTGCACCTGAATTTATACCCAGCCGTTCTCACGATACTCGAGTACCGGATTTGCGAAGATTTTGTAACGATCGAATCTACGTGTTGCTTTATCTTCGTACCACGGATGGGAGGGCATTATCTTTCATAGAACGAAAGAAACACGCGATTGCTGAACACCACTTCCAGATACTTTCATTTTCTCCGCAAATGATAGATCGTTTGTGCCTTAAAGCGTGCCCTTTGTATATCAAATCGGCTATCTCGATAACCCGCGAGAACCTCGATACTCGCTAATTCCGTATCCTCAAAAAGGTCAACGAGGTAGTCCCAGATTCCTGAAGAGTCTCGATAGCTAAACTCTGGAAACAGAAATCGAGCTTCTACGACTTGGAACGACTCGCGCGATCTGCCAACTTCGGGCAAAGGAACGATCCACTTCGAAATTCGTCCCAATTGTACCGGGGCCAAGCGAGTTTAACAGGTAGTTAGAATTCCCGAAATAATACTCTGTACCAATGGGATCGAGGCTTAGGTGCACTCTACACGGTTTTAGCATCCGAGTTACCAAACCAGTCAAAATAACCAGTTTTAGATATTCTTCTTTTCATTCTTAGCCACTTTGCAAACCAAAGATTAATATCGATGTTTATTTTAATGGAAACGTGGTTGTGGAAGATTTTGAGAGAACCTGTTTACGAAAAATCGTGTGGTTTGGGACTCTATTTGGCGGTTTTTAAAGTATATTTACCTGTAACGAGTAGTTAAATACAATAAATATAGGTGGTATAGTGACAATACAAAAATTTGACAGTCGTTTGTGTTAATAAAATTATTGTGCATGATCGCAAAAGGGTTCGATTATTTTTATAATTCGATATAGTGAGATTTATCGTAAAGTGGATAAAGGAGTATTGAAGTTTTGATAAATGTACACTATATGACTGGGAATGTCACTCTATTAAATTTAAGAAAAATCTGATTGCTAATGACACATTCTTAATTAACACTAAACCTACCTCTGCTCGAATGACTATTTTTAAACTCTTGACTTAAAATCTCGCATTCGTCATTTTCATTCGCATCGATTTGGTCACTTGTATAACATTTCCTCTTTTTCGATCTTTCTTAAGATTATTCTTCTTCTTTCCTGTCTTCGTCCATTGGTCAATTTGACCGGTCGTGGTAACTCTAGTGTCTACTCAATGATGGAAATGGGTTAATCGTATATTTTTATTTTTCATTGCATGATTTCAATTAAAATTACTGCATTTCCATCGTTCTTACCCCATCTGGGGTATCACAGATGGATAGTTCCACCGATAATCGAATTTTCGATCCCGTTTCTCTATCGGACGGTCGTGGCTAAATAAAATATGCACGCTCCGATGGCTGGCCGATTTCATGACTTCGTTACATACCTGCCGCCGACTGTAACGAGGCAAAAAAGTGGCACACGGTGGACGAACGTTGCTCGCGTGCAGCCAACCCTTTGGCATTAGGCCGAGCCCGCGACACGTGTGTCACGATATCGTCAAACGCGTTCGAAATGCCGCGTCGTCTGGCTAGGTTCTTTATTGTCCCGTTTCCACGAGGCCACAAGGTCCCTTAAGCCGTGACCACACTTTCGTTGGTGTATCACTAACGTGTAGTCAGTTTGCTGAGATTTCTTTACAATAGAAATATATTTATTGACAGTAAGATTAGCACCGCGAGTACTCACCTATACAGCGAGATAACGATATGAAATAAGTAAGTAGAAGGGTCTTAACCACTTGCACTGGCAAGAAATTCACAGACGCGTGTGTCAGAACAGTCCAATGTTTTCGTGACAATTGCCTGACGACGTGTGTACCACGTTGTTGACGATTCTGCGACGAAAGTATTACGACGTGTGTACCACGTTGTTGGCGATTCTGCGACGAAAGTATTACGACGTGTGTACCACGTTGTTGGCGATTCTGCGACGAAAGTATTACGACGTGTGTACCACGTTGTTGGCGATTCTGCGACGAAAGTATTACGACGTGTGTACCACGTTGTTGACGATTCTGCGACGAAAGTATTACGACGTGCATGGCACGTCTTTCCAACGCAAGTGATTAATATGACACGTACTAGCTATTTGAATATCAGTATACACGTTGCCACTGAGAGACCGAATGATATAAAACAAAAATACATGTAAATGCAATTTTACAATCACAAATTTCTTTAATTTTTTATCATTTTATTTGCATACAATATTAACAGATTTTTCCAATATTATACGTGAAAAATATCCCTCAAACGACCACCATTTTCCTGCTCACAAATACTAGCTCTTTCCATAACATTTTCAATTTTTCTATACCAACTCTATCTTACAATGCAACATCACAGTCTCTTTCCTTTTATCACTCACTATGACACTGACACCAGAAACCTCAGACAAGTGTCACACCTGCTATCTGTCCTCTATCGTTGCCTTCAACGCGAATTGATACTAATATATCCCCGGATTGCATTAAAATAATTTCTATTCTGACTTCGGAGAAAACACGAGACACACGGCGTGTAAAACGGCCGTGTAGTCTCGGCCTCTTACGCAACAATCAATTAAAACGAAAAAATTGAACGACAGGGCAGGTGAACGCAGCAACGAACCTTGCGTAACGTGCGGTGATCATGCGGTTGGACCAAACGTATTGTTGTGCACCAGGGGTTGAGAGGAAGTCTACTTCTCGTTACTCCTAGCTTTGCATGCCAGGAATTCGCGAAAATTCGCGAAATCCCGATTAATTTCGCTCAATTTCCTTTTCACCACACCCGAACGACCATTGAAATGCATCTGATCGAAGTTTAACGTATTTTTTTATTTTTTATTTTTTATTTTATATTTGTTATTTTTTTATCAGCATTCCATCGAATGTATTATTCATTTTTCAAGTGCCTACAGGATTGGATTTTGTTTCGACGTCGGTTGTTCGACGATTACGTTAACCCCTTATACTGCAATAACTAGTCCAACTCGAGGTGTTTTTCACACCGAACCCCATAAAGATGAATCACACCCGCGTTGGGTTAAATTGCATTCAACGTATTTTACGCCCGAAATTTGCACGAGTCCTAATGATTTGTAGAATTTCATCATGAACGAAATAGGTATATCGTGAGTAATTGAAATTTAATAATTTTACATTGCATAGTTTCTCGTAATTAAATTACGGTGCAAAGGGGTTAATTGAAATACGAATCTCTCGGTTTGCTGAAATTTCGCGGATTCCTTTTTCGGATAAATTTCATGGAATACTCTTTTTCAAGCGGGGTGTGTAAATAATAAGGATGTTAGTCGTTCGAGCACTGTGTTCTTTGAAACGTTCCAATTTACTAAAATTTCGACAAAATACATTCCCTCGGTTGTTTATTTGGTGTGCATAAATATTTGAATTTTGTTTCGACCTCGACTGTGCAATGAGTATGTTAATTGAAATATGTTTGCTACAATTTCGAGAATTTTCTTTTTTTTAACCGAGTTTCATCGAATACACTTTTTCAACTGGGAAATATAAGTAATCATAGTTATTTCGTATGTATAAATATTTGAAATATGGTTCATGACTATGATGCTTGAAATATTTTCTGAAATTTTGTAATAAGCAAGATTAATATGCAAAAATTTAACATATTTCGTGTTTTTTTCAAGTAAGAGTTCTATCGAATACACTTCTTCGAATAGAGTATATAAATAAGAGTAATTATGTGTGAATAATTGGACTTTGTTGTAACATCGGTCAATCTCGACTTATGATACTAACCAACCTTCGGATATATTGAAACTGAATACCCCAAATAACCCTAAATGACACAATCAGATGATCTTCGGCTGACCGCGATGATCTCGAGTAATCTTCGAGCGACTACAACTGTCAATGATGCGACCTCGATGACGAATTACGACCTTCGAGTGACCCTAAACGCGAGTGACAATCTCGATGATCGCATGTCAATCTTTGCCGATATTCAAACGACCTTGAATCATCGACATCGATGGCTCTTTGTCTTTTTCGATTGACATTCATCGATATCCAAACTATTGGGTGCTCCAAAATTCACGCAAGTAATTTTGATAGAAAACACAGGTTTTTAATTAAGAATTGTAAATATTTCTCCACGATGAAGACGCGTTGTTCTTCGCTATAGCTCCATTTTTAACAACTCTGAGCTGTCAGCTGTCACGCTGTCTTTCTTTTTCGTTGGCAGCACTTTACCACGCAAATGGGGCAAAATTCAAATCTCGCCTAGGTTTTGGGACACCCTGTACTATCTCTCATCATCGATAATCTTGCATTCAACGTTTCGTTCTAATACCTCAGCGATGAAAATGATGAAAATAACGGTTTATCAGAGAAATACGCGGTTCTATTGGAAAAAATGGAACACTGCGCTTCGCGTGCGCGCAATCTTCTGGTGAAAAAGGATTCTCATGCCCATATGCGTTTCAATTTTTTCCCGTCACGATATTTCTGTACCTGCAGAGAACCAGGTGGCATAACCCCGTGTTGCGTGACGTATCCTGCGTAACATTAGTAATTAAGTATACTCGCGGCAAAGTATCGCTGTTGTGTTAACACTAAACCTACCACGATCGGTCAAAACACCGATGCATGAAAGAGGAAAAAAGGAAGAATCTTAAAAAAACATATGAAATAAAAGGAAGTATCGAAAAATTGATACGTAGAATTCTTGCGTGTCAAGAATTCACGAAATTTCATGTAATTTCGTTTAATTTGGATCAATTATTTATTTACCATTCAGGAATGACGATTGAAAGGCATCGAATTGAAGTTTGACAAATTTTTAAATCCTTTTATTATTATTTATTTTGTAAAAATTTCCTTTATTGTTAACATAGTGTGATATATATATTAAAACAATTTTATATTTTCTAATTATAATATAAAACGGTTTGCATGAAAACTTCTGTGACCTACTAGTTCACGTTTTCTTAATTTATTTTGAATATATATTATATATATATATATTTAAATTCTATCGTTAAGTTAAACATAGCAGATTTCCTGGACGTACGTAGACTCTTGTGACTGACTGTATATTAACAAAACAAAATCACGTAGCCGAGGGACCAAAGCGATTACACCGAACGTGGATTTTGAAATAAAAATCGTTTAAAAATCGTTGATAAGTTTAGTGTCAAACGTCCAATATTTCTCTGGTCTCGGAAATATTTTCGACCACCGTGTTCGAATTTATCTTTCATTTGCCAATTTCATTACCGTGCCAAAATATTGACGTTTACTTTAATTTTACCTTTAATTTCACCTGTTTCACGGATCGGCGTGTCGATAAATCGCCATCAAAAGATATCGCGTAAAAATATTCCCGCGAGCATTAATTTCGCATTCGTCGAGCTGGAGTGTCGTCATATTTCAAATATTTATATAAATTTCTATATTCAGTCGATACGTGTACATCGTGCCGGAATATTCTGTCAGTCGTTAATTCGATGAAATGGCGAATTTGTCCGTGGAAAATTCTTCGAATCGCTACGGACAACAGGATACTCCATCCGTTTCATAGACCAGCAATTTTACGGAATTATATCGGGCAGCCATCGCACGAAAAATACGTAGCTTTTAATCGAGGCTGGGAAAAAGAAGGAAAATATTCGTGTGTTTGCTTTGTTACGTATTATTTTATACTCTGTGCGGTGCAGCATCGAGCAGCAATTTCCCTGAAACGTGTAATACTTTCTTCCCGTAATATGCAGAATATTCCTACGAGCTTTAACGAAGGATAAAGCACCATAGAGGAGTCGAACTTTATTATTGCAGATCGTGTTTGATCGCGAGTTTCCGCGATATTCGCTGCAAGATATTTGTATAATTATTTCCTCGCTGGAGTTTCAATTAAATTAACGATTGTATCCACAAAGCCTAATTACACACCGTTTAACCGATACGAAACGAGCATACTTCCGCTCGTAAGGCTTTATACACTCGCTGATTTTCAGCGGAAGAACGAAAGCTGGAATATCAAGAGTTATACGATCCCTGTGGAACATTAACGATTACTAGTCGCCCGATTTACTAGCCAATTACGGTACAAATTTCTCCTTCTAAATCCGCTAATTGAGCCAAAATTTACGGACTGCGGTCAGACCTATTCGTTAACCTTAAACTTGGCCTGGTATAAAATACCGTAAATAAATAAGGATCGTTGTAAGGAAAATAGGAATGGAAACTGGATAGCTGTACTCGAAGAGTCCGTTGCGAAATGTGTTAGAGATTCGCGAATTTAGATTGTAAGAATAAAGACGAAAGAATTATGGACAGCTGTACTCGAATACTTCGTCCGTACTTCGATTGAAATTTCAAACTACTCGAACACCCAAACCTTCCAACACCTCTGCAACACCTTGACCCTTGCACCCCCAACTCCCTTAACTCACCCTGCAATCTTTTTCCCAACATTCTCAGCATCCCATTAACCTTTTCGCTACTACGGGTGACTATAGTCACCGGCTACAAAAATTGAGTGATAAATTAAGACAAGTGCTACCGTTCCTCTTAGCTCTCTTCGCAGAGAATTGCATGCTCTATTACGATGGTTAGTTTTTCCTTCCCTTTTTTCCTCGAAATATTTGCGTCAAAATACCGAATCCTAGAGATTGCACTATTGTAATGTTACCATCTTTGACACGTCGCTTCGTTCTACGATAGAGACTTCGTGTGCCTACGTCCCCCGTAGCGAAGGGGTTAAACCCATTTACCTTTCACTAAGTCAAGCCCCATAAACTCATCTCTCGCTATTAAAATAGAAAGGAAAATAAAAATAAAAAATGGTTTCAGATGGAACGAACACGGCCACGCCAGTGCAGAACAACGCACAAGCGGAGCACACAGGGGGTGATTTCGACAACGCGAGCGTCGGAAGCGGAAACTCGAATCTCAGCACTGGCGCGCTACAGGTACGTGCAACAAGTACACAGAATCGAAGTCGAGTTGACAACCCGCTAAACGATGAAACCGCATTGCCGTGTGTATTTCTAGAACATCAGAGAGCAAATGGCGGCGTCGTTGGAACGGATGAGGGAACTGGAGGAACAGGTCAAGGCGATTCCCATGTTACAGGTAAACACGCTCGTGATCATCTCAACTCCAATGCGTTTTCCTCGCAGTGCATCCCGTGAATCATACCCCGACGCAATTGCCAAGAGGACACGTACGTAACTGCGTTTAGATCATCGAGCCTTCCACTCCGCTCGGGCAGCAAACTCGGAAAAGGACGAGGAGGGTAACGTCGCTGAATAGAGACCTTCGTTGTTTGTTGCACTCGAGAAACGCGCATTTCGTTTAGTGTTTTTCTTCGGCTCAGTCCATCGGCGTATGAGTCACTCCTTGAGGTCTTTCTTCCAGTCGCAATACTTCCGTCAGGGAAACGTAATTACGTCGGGTCGCGGCGTAACCGTTGCATCGGCACGTTTCTCTGCCTCGAGGTTATCGGTGACGGGATATCTGCACGGAAGCTTGCTTTTCATTCGTGCAAATATTGAAACAAAATTGGTAAACGAGGAACTGCAACCGTATCTTCCTGTATCATCTGAGGAAGAGCGAAGTTCGACTCGATGTAATTTCGATTTTGAAATTTTGCTGGGTTGCGAGTTAATTCGATAGGTATCCCATTGAGTTTGCATAGAAAAAGGAACTTGGTCGAATGATAAGATATCGTTTGAAAATTTTAAGGACAAATTCAGAGAATAGATTAAGCTCAAAGAATAGATTTTCGTGTAACAGGTTCTTCTAAAGTTCATCAAGATCTAGACACCTAAACGTTCGAGCAAAGTTCACAAGGTCTTGGACACCTAAGTGTGCAAAGCTGTAGATATCATAGTTTCCTGAAATTCATAGGATCTCAATCATCTAGATCTCCAAATCTTTAGATATCAGTGCCTCCTCGAGTACCTAATTCTCCACATTCTCAGATACCAAGATTTCATAGATTTCGCCAAATCTTAAATATACTAATTCCAGGTATTGGGATCATTCTCTATTTCCAATTTCCAAGACCTAAAATTTATGAATCTCAAAAAATTATAGACCCCAATTCAGATATCAATGTCGTCTAAAATTCATGAAGCTTGGAGTACCTAATTTTCCAAATTCTTCTGGACCAAGATCTCCCAGGATTCATCAAACCCTACATATACCGACGTCTGCAGATTTCCAGGTATCGAAGTCTTCCTTCACTTTCAGTCCCCAGGACCTAAAATTCATAAATCCTATAAGCATGTAAATCCCAACATTGGAAGACCGCTTAAAATTCCCAAGCCTTAAATATCCACCAAGTCCCATAAATCTGCAAATCCCCAGGTACAAACGTCTCTCAAAATTCATCAACCCCGAAAGCTTCTCTAACCTAACTCCAAAATTCCTCAAACCTGCCAATCCCCAGGGACTGACTAAATTCGCAAAGCTCGAAATCTCCACTCTCCAAGGTACCCGTCGAACTCCACCGAGCCATAAAAACATAAATCTCGCAATTCCCTGAACGACCTTCGGGTGTCCCCTGAATCATATAAAGCCACCCAACGTGGAAGCATCCCTCGTTGACGACGTGTGCCACGCAGGTGCAAGTCTCCGTGCTGAAAGAGGAGAAGCGGAATCTGCTGCGACAAGTGGACGAGCTGAGCAAGACGAGCCAATGCAACGAGAGCGTGCTGCACAGGCACCGTAGCCAGTCGTTCTCGGAACAACGTGGCTCCCAACGAAATCCGAGGAACGCGGCCACGCCAACCAGAGACATGGGAACGATGTGCGGCGTGATGACACGGGACGTCGGTGTTTCGCACCAGCAGGTACGCCGACGACTTCCGTTTCGCGCCGTTTTATCAGCACCTTCATCTCCTTTGTTCTGTGCCAACGGCGGAGGAACGGGCCGACGAACCGACTGCATCGGGGCGGCCGAAAATTTGCATATCCCGATGCACGGGGCTAACTTTTAATTGCACCCGTGAAATAGTCAAGCGTTGTTGCTTTATTGGGCCGGTGAGAAAGTCTGCGAATCCGGCGAGAAACGCCGCCTCTTTTCGTACCATCATTCTGTGCAATTAATTTTATGCAATTTCTACTTCTTCGGCTTCTTATGAATATGCGCGAGCCACCTTTCTATTAGATTGTTGCATTTGCATGAAAGAAAAGTTTCGAATGCACGCGCGCATTTTTCTTTTTTCTTTTTTGTTTGCCGCGTTTCTGTCGAAGCCACGATGAATTGTGCCGCTGATTATGAAAGTGGCCTAAGTCGTGGGTATTCAGAGTGACGAGCAAAATTGAAACTACCGTGCATTTTTGAACAGCTATTATTCTGTGAAATGAAATGGCGTGATTGCATTTGTGAAGTGAATGTAAAGAGTAAAGCCTATACTTTTATCGTTATAAGTTGAATTTTTATTAAATTACATACTTATTGTAAAAATTCTGGTAGTTACGAGCGAGGCTTCAACCAGTCGAATTCCTACTTTTCACTGAGTTTTCATTGATTTCAGTTTGAACGAGGATTATAATAACTAACTAATAACGACCTGATAATAACTAACGGTTCTCTTTACACATACACTGGTCAATAATGAGCGGAAAGAAGTAAAATGCCATCTGATTTTTGCTGTTATAGTAAGTGGGATCGAAGTTCGATGATAATAGTACAGTCTATTCAAAGCGAAATCACTTGGCAACGAAAAATCTCTCGTTATTTTAATGGAATTTCTGGAAACTGAAAGCACTATTGGTTTTTGAGTCCAAAGTTTTTTAAGGAAACTACCAGTGTTTGAATTTTCATAATTTGTCTTTCTTTCTTCCCATTGAAACATGTAAATAAAAATTCAATTTAGGGATATGAAAGTACAGGTTTTGCATTTTATCCGATAATTATCGTACAATTTCCCCTCACAAAATTATATCTATTCAAAAATGAACGTAGTATAGATTCTATTATACCCATCACTGTATTATAAATTTTAAAAATTATTCACGATGAAGATAGAAAATCGACTTAGAAATTATTGAAATTATTGAAACGATTAATCGATAGATACGTAGAGACTATAACAGATAGCAGGATTTGTTTCTCCTTTTTCTTTCTTCTTTTGGGAGGTTTATTTAATCAAGTCCCTCATCGAGTACTCCGACTCCACATCTGCTGATTCTAACGACGACCTCGATTTTCAGCTTCCTGAAACGCGTCGTATTTCTACCGAGCGAAATGGGTCACCGTGTACATTTCATTTGCATCACACTTTTACCTGTAATCGAATTAACGGTCAGCCCGATGAAAACTCCGGCGATTTTCTCACCGTGCTCCGATAACTCGCTTACGTAAATCGGCGGAAACTTTGCATCAAAACTTCGTGGAAAAACTCTAACTACGAGCCGGGTAATTAACTTGCGAATCGTGCTTCCGCGAGAAAATAAATACTCAACGTTTGCCGAAAGACAGCTACGGTATCGGAATGACTAGCCAACGAAAAAGAAATGTCTTCCTATAATCGTACATAGTAACGTTGTATTGTCACGCGATCAGGTTCGAACCCGAGATGTCGGCATGATAACGAGCACCCCGATAAAACAATCCCTGCAACGGAGTCGAATGCAGATCGAAGAAATCGTACCTGAAATTAGAGACCAGAGCGACTCGTTTGACGATCAGACCTTGTCTAGCCTTGATAAGCTCTACACCAGCGACTCCCGCGACAGTTGGAGATCGACCTTGTGCCGCAGCCGACTGATGTACGAAGAAATACTACCGGAAACGAGGATGAGGAACCGTTTGAAGACCAGCCCGCTTCAGGTGGAATCGATACCGCCGATCAGCCCGAAGTTGGTCAGAGACGTTAGGAAATTTCGGGATGTCGGCGTGAACACGAGGAACAGGCTGAAGCATCTGGTGTTCAGTCGGTTCGTGGTCGAAGATATAGCACCGGAAATAAAGAAGGAAACGAAGAAGAAATCCTGCGGCACAACCACCGGCTTGAACATGAGAGACGTGCTGACGAAAGACGATGTCGCGGTCATCGTGGATGACGCACTCAGGATTTACAAGAGTACCCTGATCAAGGATACCGTCTCTAGGGGTTGCCAGTGCACACTGGACCAGGCGAAGACAGTGGAGAAGAAGGAGCAATTCGTTCAGGTAGCTGAGCCGTTCAAAATGAGAACGAACGTGGGAGTGATGGTTAAGCCAAGGGTGTCCGAAATTGGAATTGAGGTCAGAACTGGTCCCGGAACGAGGACCATCGCCGTTGGTCCCGATCCGCTAGCCACAGAGTCGCTGTCTCTGCACTCGATGAACTCGAGGAGTCATTCGTTTAATTACGGCGACACCAAGGTCAAAAGAAAGGCCACGAAATCCGTCAGCGTTATGGTAGACGATTTAGTGAGGACCACCGTGAAGAGTACCGACACTTCCGGACTGGCGCCTAAGAAACGTGAGTTTGGTACTTCGCCGGTAAAAAAGAAATTCACAGACGTGTCGGTCGGCGAGTCGATCAAGCCGCATATTTCTATCTCGTGCGCTGCCAACTATTGCGATAACTGTAAAGAGACCATAAAAAATCTGGCAAAGCAGATTGTCAACAACGCGGAGAATAATATGAATCATCAGAACACGAATCTCGTCTCGAGGATACCGAGACCGTCCCATATACCTTTGAACAACGCTGTAGATTACAGAAGACAGTTTAAACGGCAGGACACGTACACGAAGATACCGGCCGCAGGCGTGATAAGATACGATTCCGATAACAAGGAACAATATGACAGTAGTAATCGGTAGGTAATTCTTTTAACGATATCTCGAATATTTTTATGTCGTTTTTATTAGGTCGTTTGGTTACCCTTCTCAGTGAAACATGGTAGTTAATGGTAGTTATTTAATTCTTTCGAAACTTACGTAAAATATAAAATATAAAATGTAAAATACTAATAATTGATGTAGATAATATTTAAATGTGTAAAAGAGTGGTATATTTTGAAAAAATTTTAAAAATTCATTCACGAAGCTGCGATATGAGCGTCGGTACATGTAAGGTACGCCATCTATGGGGTGGAGAGTTTAAACTGAGGGTAGTTCGGTAAAAAAGGTAGTAAAGAACTTGGCGCCATGGAGAATCAATCTATCACATAGTTAGTGACAATCAAGCGCATGTCAAGGATTTGTTAGTTTTTCTGATTCCATGGTTGCGCGTCGTATGCGTCATAAGTGTTTTTACGAAGCAAGAGCACAGAGGTCAAATTGTAAATAACATCTTAGAGGTCAGTGACAGAGAAAGTGCACTTAAAAACATCGCGATTTCGTTATGGTGAATAAGTAAATCGCGTGTCCGATCTCGACAAATCGATGCTGCAACAGCAGCAGCAACAACACGCTACCCGTTTACTTAACGATACCGAACTCACCGAAATAAACTCTGCTTGTTTCGTTGAGAAGGGGTAATTTAATCATTTTCTTTTATTCGATCATTTTATTTTATTTATTGTATTAAATAAAAAAAAAAATACAAATAAAACTTACGTTTTTCTATATTTTTATAGTATCCAACAGTTGCAAAGGGAAAAAGAAAAAGATGAAAAGTCAGAAGAAATATATAATACGGAGAAACAAACAGATAACGAAGAAAAACATGAGCTCCCAGAATCTGCTCTGTTTCAACCTATACAAGAAAAGCCCAGAGAAAAAGTTGAACCTACAAAGGAGATGCAGGCCGCCATGAAGGTTCTTAATGATAGCCTTAAAAAATCTCCTAGTAAAAATGTTTCTCATCAAATGAAAAATGCTATTAATATCATTCAACAAGAATGGTTCAAAATCTCGAGTACAGTAAATGCCAATCCTTTAGAAGTAGAAGATTACCTTGATTGTTTTGAAGAATGTTCGAGTTCTTTATTGGAGTATATAGTTAACATGACTGACTCAAGTGGAAACACTGCGATGCATTATGCAGTTTCTCATGGAAATTTTGATGTTGTATCTATACTTCTTGATTCAAAAGTTTGCGATATTAACAAAGCTAATGTAGCTGGATATACGGCTGTGATGTTGGCAGCTCTTGCTGAAGTCAGAAATTCTACTCATGCTTCAGTAGCTAACAGGTTATTCCAGCTTGCTGATGTTAATATTCGAGCAAAATTGGTAGGTACTTTAAGTAACTATGACTATTATCCTTTTCTTTGCATCAGTTATACTTCATTTAAAATTTACCATTGTTTATAGCATGGTCAAACTGCCTTGATGTTGGCAGTGTCTCATGGTCGCAAAGACATGACTCAGTTACTTCTGGATGCTGGAGCAGCAGTTAACATTCAAGACGAAGATGGCAGTACGGCTCTAATGTGTGCCGCGGAACACGGGCATACGGATATTGTACGATTGTTACTCGCGCATCCAGACTGTGATCCATCGATTGTTGATATAGATGGTAGTTCCGCTCTAAAAATTGCGTTAGAAGCGGGCAATCGAGATATCGGCGTATTGCTTTACGCTCACGAGCGCGTGAATAGAGGAACAAGCCCATACTCGTCGATGAGACGAAGTAGGAGAGGTTCTAAACCAACTACGCCTACCGGACCTTCCCCGTCAGCTCCAGTAAGCCCAGCTCCATCCCGAAGAATTCATTCGTCAACAGTTTCCCTAAACACCTCAAAATATTCTGCTAAATAATTCACACGCGATATCTGAAGACTTTTTTTTTATTGATATTTAACGCATTAGCATATAATTTGAGCTATAATCGTATCATACAAGTAAGCAATAATACAATCGGCGTTCCGTGTTTCCTATATTTATTGCTAACGTGTTTTAGTATTTATCGTCGATTTACGATATTTTAAGGTGTTGATTTCTTAAGATAAACAATCATGATCTTGCCTAATCATTCATCAGCCTCGACGCATTTAATTTAAGGTATCTATTTAACTGCTCAACTTTGTATACAATTATTCGAGAAAAGTTTGAGAATGTTGTTTTGTAAAGTTAGTCCATAGGAAGGGTGGTGAAACATTGTTTCACATCGTTAGTTGATAGGAGGGATTTGTATAAAGTTTAAAACTACTTTCTAGGTGCTATCAGAGTAAAAAATAAATCCATTTTTATTGTTGATAGTTTTTATACGATGTCACGAACGAATACGAAATGTCAGTAATACCTTCAAAATTTAATTCTTAAATTTAGAAACTGTATCAAAGTACAAAAAAAATTTCTTATATATAAAAGCAAGTCACAGTGAAAGAATTATGTAATGTCTTCCAACATCCTGTGACATTGAACATTCCAAAAAGCGAATCGTCAACCAACAATCCGAATTTCTTGTCGCAGAAAGTTTTTCTTATACTCACTCTGTAACATATTCGACTGTCAGGCCTAATTTCCGTTAAATCCTGGGGATCAAACTATCAGTAGAATAATTGTGTACTGATATAAATAGAAGAAAACAATACGATATGTGTAATGATTATATGGTGCACAAACGCGAGATTTATAGTGCTCGCAAATAATGTTGAATTTATATACGAAGAAATTTGTAGAACCTATCGATGGTCATTCGATGTTGAAGTAGAGATGTTATAAATGTGAAAGTATAAATATAGCATCTGTGGATAACAGCGAGATATCGAAGGGCATACGAGGGAAATTCACTAAGTTTAATAGTTGTTGAAATTATTTCAGGGTACAGTTTATATATATATACATATATATATTATATAGAACAAAATACAAAAATATAATTTCATTTCATTCCTCGTTTATCCGTGTTACCTTCGTGTTAGGAATTGGATGTCTAAGAATAATCTTAACGTTGAACGTTTTCTTACATAGGGTTGTGAATATTTAGAGATAATGAACGTATTTAAGTTCAACATCAAAGATTTAGGTTAACACTGTAATGAGTATTCCTATCGTTAAGAATTTATATTAACGTTAAGTGACGATTATGTATCAAAGATAGTACTGAATCAAGTAATAGATTCATAGGGATCTAGAAAGTAGATAACTACTTTTCATTGTTTGTGCCTTTATATTTAACATATTGTAATTGATAATAAACTCGAAAAGAAACAATATAAAATGATTGTACCATACTACAATTTACCAAAAATTAATATAAACAATACATTACAAATTCAATCTAAATTCACTTCATGTTATAAACTTATATGAAACCCTTAACCATCATAAATACGCCATCCATAATAAAAAGTAAACTTATGACCTTAAAAAGTTTCATGTTACATAATCAGAATATATTATCGATAAAATTTAAATTTATAACAGGAAAGTCAATATTTTATCTACATTATCGAGACGTTATTATTTCGATGATAAATTTCTTCTTAAGAAAAATATAGAAATCAGTGTATATAAATGTTGATATTATTTATCAAAAAGCTTATACGACTGACTTTATATAGTATAATTATATTCATTTAATTGTTAATTTGTACGTATTTCATCAAGTTTGAAATCTAACAAGGAGAGTGCAAGTGCTTCGGATCACCGATTTAGTTGAAACTTTGCAGGTTTGTAAATATCGTCATGCAGTTTAAGAAAATATATCATTTTAGTCGCAACTACTCAATAGTTTAAAATTTAATCAATTTGATCAATAGATTAAAATTTGATTACTTCTCTAATTATCGATTTATTTCTAATAGTTTTTAACTGATATTGTAGTTTGAGGGCGACAGCCGAAAATTCCTACAATAGAGGTCCGGAGTGCGATTCCCGTCTCTTGGTAGTTGTAGTTTTTTTTTCAATCTATGTTTTATTTTTTATTTTATATTCATTTTTCACCTATGAACACATTGTAAAGAAACAATTGTAAATAAAATTAATTAATAAAAAAATTTATTTTTTACGCTTTCTTATGCTAATATATATTTGTTACAAAATAATAAGAATACTATGCAAAAAAGGCAGTTTTCTATAGCAATCTTATTTGCTACAGAGAGAAAACGAAAATATAAATAATCATTAGATACAGGAAATACAAAACCCATCGCTCATGTAAGTATTAATTATTAAATTAAATATTGTATAAGAATGTTGCTATAATTCCAACTTTGCTGTGCAGCTATAAATGTTCATGAATTAATTATGGAAACTTGGAAATTTATTAATTTTCTACCGTCGAATTGATTTATTATGATATTAAATTCTTATTGTTTATTAAGATGAAAAATTTCATCTCATATTATGTCAAATCAAGAAACAGGAAAGAAGCAGCATATGTATTAAGAAAGAAAGATGTGTGGCGTCAACATGCAAATATGAGGATCACCGAAGAGATGGAGAATGAACAATTGGTAATACTTATGAAAATTAAAGATCACTGAATATATATAGAGTTTAAATATTGAATTAAGGCACATATGTGTAGAAATATCTATAGGGAGTTGGAAACTTTAAAAGCGGCAGGAATAATGGGGCTGTAACACATGGACTTGAATGGCTCGATAAAACCAATGTCAAAAGGAGGTAAAAGGTACATCTGAAATATTGATGATTATTTGACAGCTATTATTGTCTTGTTTTTATAGAAAAAGGGTCAGATAGCCGAGGAAATAAAAAGATTGGTCACATTAAAAGAAAATCAATCTATCAAGAAGTTGAAAAGTACTTATATGCTCAGACATAAGGAGGTGAGTTTGTAGAATAACAAACCTTCAGGTTTGGTTAAATCAAAAGCATATAAAATATGATTTGATTCCAGACAAGATACTGCAGTGCATTGGAGTTGCTGAGAGGAAGAACAAATCCACCATAACTTAATTCAAGATAAACCAATATCAAGAATTATTAGGGAAACTTATGTATTTGAATACTTATGTCTGGCCAGACATCTCATTTGCAGTAGGACGTTTGTCATAATTTAACCATGATCCTAAACTGATGGACACAAATAGATTGAAGGGAATATTAAGATATTTGAGGGTGTGTACTGTCTTGAATTTGGAAAATGAACAGAAACCAATGAAATGTGTTGTGCAGATATATAGACTGATATGTAAAGTCCTACTGGAAAAGGAGATGAGAAAGATTGTGACAAATTGAATGTGATAAATGCAGAAAATTAAATCTGAGCTCTTGCATAGAAAAATGTTGTTATATAAGAGATATAATAAAAACTAAGAACTTGCAAATTTGTTATGTGCCAGATAAGGAAACAAATGCTAATTGTCTAACTAAACCACTGAGTGGTCCAAATTTGTTACAAAAATCTAAAATACCTTATGGGGATCTTAAGAGAATAAAAAGAAGGTGGGAAAATGAGTGATAGTTATTTATATTGTTTTACTGTTTTATTCCTCCCATCCATTATGGGATAAGTTAGGTAAACTGCTTTATTAAAAGTACTATATAATCAATCTTAATTTTAATAATAACATTCCTATCTTATTAGTAATGGGACAGATATTTGTAGCTTTATTATAACCGAATGATACATACTTTCTTTGCATAGGTCTGACTAAATGGTTTTGTTGAAAAAGTAGTTTTAACCACTTATACATTAAAAACTAATGTTCTCAAGAAGTGTGTTCAATAAAGGTGGTCACAATGCTCATATACTAAATTTTGTAACTAATGTATGATACATATTATCATATATTATATTTTTGATACTAACCTTATAATTAATTTTATTAATTTATAACGTCTTTGTAGTAGAAATTTGTCATTTTTATAACAGAAATATATTTATTTTTGCTTCATTGATATTAATAAATATAAGAGGCATCGTTTGATATTTTAACGCATGGCTATTTCAAAGACGCAGAATTTTCCCACCACAAAATACGTAGCACATCCGTCCGCAGCCAACTTCCAGTTGGCGGCAAAGCGGGCGTACCGGTAACAAATGGCGGAATATTCTTGCACGTCAAAGTAAAACATTACAGATTTCTTCAAAACATTTCGGGAAGTAGTGCTATCGCCGATTGTTGTTCTAATTGCTACAAATGAAGAAATATATATTTACGAACAATAACGCGATGTGTTCGGTATTAGTTCGCGATAATGCAGGTGCAGATTACGTTTGCAACATTATCCTAATATTTACGAACAGAACACAGCAGGAGTTTAAGATATTGTGAAAAATTTACGAAGTTCAACATTAGTAACTGTGAACATTTCTTCGGTGGTAACATACTACATGTGGAAAAAGGTGATGTTACATAGTGAAAATCGTATAACGATACGTGTGGGAAATGAAGTGGTGTGAGTGCGGGATCCTATAACACTACCGCATTGTCCGTTATTATCGGCTGTACTAGATTCTAGACTTTGAATGTCCAGTAATATATTTGAATACTTTTACTCTGAATAGGCAGCTTGTTAACAATTTTTCCAATTTTTCTTCAATCTTGACGTTCAATTGTAAAGCAGCTACGTATTATCATTTATACATTCTAAACTTCGATTGTGGATTAGGATATTTCATTATTCATGCATAGAATAGATTGTTTTCCAACCAATAGGGCAATTATTTTACGATTGAAGGTGCATATATGAAATAAAGTGACGGAAAAGTAAGTGCCTGTACAATCGTGCTACAGAGTTTACTTTTCTCGCCTAGATTTATGAAATTATGCTTTTCGATTAGATTCCTTTCGTATAACAACGTTGAAGAGATTTTCCTCTAACTAGTTTACCGATATTTTTCCGATTTCGACAATTCTTTCCGAAATTTAGTGGCGAAAGTATATATACCTGCCCGATCGTGGAGCGCAATTTACTTTGTTGGTTTCTTTCTCCATAATTAGGCTTTTGGCTCCGGTTTTTTTTATTTATCAGCGTAGAGTGAATTCTATCTTAACGGGATTGGATATCTTTTTTGTGTTTCAAGCGTGCGTTTTCGAGAAATAGTGCCGAATGTGTCAGTGGCTCTCAGATCATGCTGCGCAGTTTCCTTTTTTGGTTTCTTTCTTCAAAATTAGGCTTTTGACACGGCTAGAGTTTACTTTTCTCGCTTAGATTTATGAAATTATGCTTTTCGATTAGATTCCTTTCGTATAACAACGTTGAAGAGATTTTCCTCTAACTAGTTTACCGATATTTTTCCGATTTCGACAATTCTTTCCGAAATTTAGTGGCGAAAGTATATATACCTGCCCGATCGTGGAGCGCAATTTACTTTGTTGGTTTCTTTCTCCATAATTAGGCTTTTGGCTCCGGTTTTTTTTATTTATCAGCGTAGAGTGAATTCTATCTTAACGGGATTGGATATCTTTTTTGTGTTTCAAGCGTGCGTTTTTGAAAAATAGTGCCGAAAGTGTCAGTGGCTCTCAGATCGTGCTGCGCAATTTAGTTTTTTGGCTTCTTTCTTCAAAATTAGGCTTTTGACACCGGATTTTTTTATTTGTCCGCGTAGAGTGATCTCTTCCTTAAAGGGATTGGATACTTTTTTTCGGTTTCGTGCGTGCGTTTTCGAGAAATAGTGCCGAATGTGTCAGTGGGTGACAGATCGTGCTGCGCAGTTAACTTTTTTGGTTTCTATTTCCAAAATCAGGTTTTCGACTCCGGTTTTTTTTATTTATCCGCGTAGAGTGATCTCTTCTTTAAAAGGATTGGATATCTTTTTTGTGTTTCAAGCGTGCATTTTCGAGAAATAGTGCCGAATGTGTCAGTGGCTCTCAGATCGTGCTGCGCAATTTAGTTTTTTGGTTTCTTTCTTCAAAATTAGGCTTTTGACACCGGATTTTTTTATTTGTCCGCGTAGAGTGATCTCTTCCTTAAAGGGATTGGATACTTTTTTTCGGTTTCGTGCGTGCGTTTTCGAGAAATAGTGCCGAATGTGTCAGTGGCTCTTAGATCGTGCTGCGCAGTTTCCTTTTTTGGTTTCTATATTCAAAATTAGGCCTTTGACTCCGGATTTGTTTATTTATCCGCGTAGTGTGATGTCTTCTTTAAAGGGATTGGATATTTTTTTTCGGTTTCATGCGTGCGTTTTCGAGAAATAGTGCCGAATGTATCAGTGGGTGACAGATCGTGCTGCGCAGTTTACTTTTTTGGTTTCTATTTGAGAAATTAGGCTTTCTGATTAGGTTTGTTCTATATATTCGCGTAGAGGGAACTCTTCTTTAACAGGATTGGATATTTTTTTTTGCATTTCGGGTCTGCGTATTCGAAAAATAGTGCCGAATGTGTAAGTGGGTGACAGGTGTTGCTGCGCAGTTAACTTTGTTGGTTTCTATTTCCAAAAGTAGGCTTTCGACTCCGGTTTTTTCTATTCATCCGCGTAGAGTGATCTTTTCCTTAAAGCGATTGGATATTTTTTTTGCGTTTCAGGCCTGCGTTTTCGAAAAATAGTGCCGAATGTGTAAGTGGGTGACAGGTCGTGCTGCGCAGTTTACTTTTTTGGTTCCTATTTCCAAAATTAGGTTTTCGACTCCGATTTTTTTTATTTATCCGTGTAGAGTGATCTCTTCTTTAAAGGGATTGGATATTTTTTTTCGGTTTCGTGCGTGCGTTTTCGAGAAATAGTGCCGAATGTGTCAGTGGCTCTCAGATCGTGCTGCGCAATGTACTTTCTCGCTTCTATTTTCAAAATTGGGCTTTTGTATTTGGTTTTTTCTACATATCAGTGTAGAATATGTTTAATACAGTATTTTGTTGAAATATGCAGGCACGTTCAACAGTAGAAAAATAGTGGCTCATGGAATATCACCATCGTAGAGCCATTAGATGCTAATGATTATATTTTATAGCGTAAAAAAATTAAAGCAGGAATACAAATAAATAAGGTATGATATGTATATTAGATTCTAGGTTGGCTTGCCATGTGACATACAACATAGAAATCTTTGATGGTCAAGCCAATATTCATAAAAGGGAGATGGTTCAGGTAGACAAAAAGGAATAAAATTAATTTAAATGATGGCCTCTGGTAACAACACAATATAGAGAATACATTGAGGTTAAAAGGAATGTTGTGCTCCTAACTTAAGTAGATTTTGATATCAGTGGTCAAAGTCAATGATCATAGCTAATGTGTTATGTTTCAGAATGATGGAGCTAAGGTATATAAAGAAAGGATAGGGATTCAAATGAAAGCTGTGAATAGAGGAAACTCATATTATTTCGAATCAAGGAACAGGAAAGGGGCAGCATATGTATCAACAGAGTAGGATGTGTAGCATCGACATGCAAATATTTGGATTATTGAAAAGATGGAGAATAAGCACTTGGCAATTAGTTGTATAAGTTAAAGATAAATTGAATATAAAGTGTAAATGTTTATTAAGGCACAAATGTATAGAAATATCTATAGGAACTTGGAAAGTATAAAAGTAGCAGGAATAATGGGGCTGTGGCATATGGAATTCATTGGTCCAATAAAGCCAATGTTAAAAGGAGGTAAAAGGTACGTATTACCTGCTGATAATTATTCAAGAAAGGAACCATTTGGTTGGCTGATTTATAAATAACCGAATATTGAATATGAAATTTGATTGAGGAAGAATTCTTTTTATTATACACGACTTACAAACATGAGAAATATTTGTAGATAGATAGATAGATTTATTTATTTCAGCTTACAGAGTAATATTTATATGCAAGAGCCAACCACTAAGGGCAAAGGAATAAGTATTAGTTAATAATATTTCAATGAATTGTATATCTGTTTTTAAACTAAATTTCTATATTAATATATTAAATAATTTTTAATTTGAATTACAATAATAAATAATAAATTTTAATCAATTTAATTTTAAAAGTGTTTTAGATTAACAAAACTAATATATTTGTTATAACTAGGTTTTAATGAAAACAACTATTGGTGATATTAAGTTAGAATTATGGGCAAAAGAAACTCCAAAGGCATATAGAAATTTCATACAATTATGTATGGAATGTTATTAGGATGACACTATATTTCATAAAATTATCAAAGGATTCATAACACAAAGTGGTGATCCCATAGGTACAGGAGAAGGTGGTAAAATAAATGGAGAACCATTTAAAGTGAGACTATATTTAAAAATAAATTGAATTCCTTTTTTATTCAAGAATGATTATTGGATATATATGTTTTAGGACAAATTTCATACAAGATTACGTTTTTGTCGACGAGATTTAATTGCTATGGCTAATGCTGGAAAGGATGACAATGGTTCCCAATTCTTCCTTACTCTTACTTCTACACCAGATTTGCAGAATAAACATACAATCTTTGGTAAAGTTACTGGAGAAACTATATATAACATGCTTAAACTTGAAGACTTGTAGACTTGTAGAGGTAAATTTAATGTTTACAAAAAAATATATCAAGAATTGATATAAATATATTTCCTTTTCTTTGTAGAATGATAGACCACTTTATCCTCCATGATTGATAAAAACTATAATATTCAACAATCCATTTTCTGATATTATACCAAGAATAATAGTACAGGAAAGGGAAGAAGTAAAGAACAGTTCAGAAACTAAAACAGCAGCAGTAAAATAAAAATCATATATGTTTGCAGAATTTAACCCTGATAGTTAGTATTATTCTTTGCAATGAAGAATTCTTTTCTCTCAAATCAGCTCATGATCATTTAATTGATTCAAAATTAAGCTCGCAACCAGCTGTTAAATCACCTGGACTTGCAAATAAGAAAAGGAAGGAAGACCGTAGGAGCGATTGGGAAAGTGACGACGAAGTAAAAAAACTCAAGAAAAATTAGAAGTTATAAAGAAAGGGAAAGA